CTTCAGTGTCCAATATGAAAAAGTAAATCACTTCTAAACAAGAATTCAATTACAAAGTTTACTTAGAAAACGACAAAATTCGCTAAAAAAAACTTAGGCTGTCAAAAACCTGTAACCTAAGATCACAAGGAGTCAAACAAAATAAACAATTAAAGTCTGAAATTCAGAAGAGATTGGTTCAAAAAGTATGATTAAAGCCAACAAAATCAACTTTCTTCTGGATCTTTCTAAAGCTATGACTATGTTGCTTGTTACGACTGAAGTTCCAGTTTTGCATGATGAACACAAAACCGAGAAAAGTCAGTTGCTCCTGCTTAAAAGCTCAATAAAAAGTAGTCGCGAAAATATTTGCAAATTAAAAAAACGATAATTTGAACGCGATCAAAACAAATAAAAATGTATAAATATTATTAACAGGTATTAGCATATGGCTTACAAGCCAGCACAGCAGGAGTCGGATGGCCCCCCCAACTCCCACTTTTTGAGGATGGTATGCGAGTCGTTCGCGAAATACTGTTAGTATACCCTTGCGAGACGGAAGCTATGCCGTTCTTACAGAAACTGCTAACCAGCTGCAAAAAAAAAATGCTCTTCAATTACTTTAACTCAATGCGCCAAACAAAGTTCCAATAAGCCAACAAAAATAATGCGAACCTGTGTCGTATGCGAAAGACTTGTGAGATCTTTGCTATCCAAAAGTCCATAAAGCTTAGCAATCATATGCAAGTGAGCCAGAACAAGGCCGCATTGTGGTCGTAGATTGAGCATAGTCAGCTGTTCCCAGTGTTTGCTATAAAGATGACCACAACAATGCCACAGATAACGTATTACTTGGCGACAGTGAGATTCAAAATTACCCGAAAAACTATTCCCTGCAATATAAACTGTAACTCCGTCTACCATAACAAAGGTCACAATAAAAAGATAAAATCAAAAAATTTGAACAAATTTCTGTTCGAGAACCTAAAAGAAAGAAGAAAAGAAACTTAAAACTTTTACCGTATTTCGTTGGAAAAAGTTGCTCATCCTTTGAAGTTTTCTCGCAAAATGTCATGACACAGTCAATATATTGCATGGCAGAATAAGCATGGTGTTTCCTTTTCTCATCAATCCATGGTACTTTTCTGCAGGAAAAATAGCTTGAAAAAGATAAGCAGAGAAATAACAACAACAGACCATAAAAAAGAGAAACTACACTAAAAGTTATTAAAAATAAAAAAAGCGCCCTGACTTTCACTAATTTGTAGAATAATTTTCACAGAACCATGATCATAAAAAAACAGATAAATACCAGGAAGTTGCAGATAAAAGCAAAAAAGCTTTTTAAAAGCTATTTTTTACAAATGGAACCAAACTCTTGAACCCTGCATTCTCCAAGAAAAAGTGAAAAAACAACAGTTTCTCGATTTCTACAAAACTTACTGTACACCGGGATATGACATAACAGGGCAAGAGGCAGGAGTACATAGTTCGGACAATGCCCCACATAAGGCATTTACATTTTCGAATAAAGATAAAACTGAAATAATAATAAAATTCTAGTTTATTTATAAGCAAGTTCCCCACTAGTTAATTATCAAATAATTTATGACTTTGAACCATTTTACAGCATCGAATAATCACAGAATTTGATTTAAAAAATGAGCAAAATCAACTTGGAATTTTAAGTGCTTCCGAGAATGATTACCATGTGACGCAAGCCATTCATTTCTGTCCATACCAGACGGAATTGTCGTCAACTTTCGAAGCATCTATAGATAAAAAATGTTCTGAAGCCAATTAAGATCACTAAACAACCTATTAAATATCTTGACCACTAGGAGAAATGTAAAAAAACGATCTTGAAACATTCAGAATAATTAAAAAACCAAGCACCTCTTCGTCAATAGAATCACAAATCCCCATTTCTGATGGAGACTTAAAATTTGCTCCAACGACATCTGAACAGCTAGCTCCTGTCTTCTGTCCATTAGCAACAGCTCCTGCTCTTCTGTTCTCTTTACCAGGATCGCCTTTCTTCTTCGACCTCCTGAGACAAATCAAGTAAAACATACGACTCATAATTATCCTATAATACTTACTAATACCTGACACATCATGACCAAACTCAAGATAAAGAAAAAAATTTCTGCGAAACCTTTGAGCTAGCATAGTTTGCAGAAACTAATAAGAAGACAGCTCCCAGCTTTACGCACGCAGTAAGCTACTGCAACTGCAAAGGACAAATTTTCAAAGGTAATTAAATCTCGAAAGTGCCTACGTTGGTGATTTGGAGTTTTAATGAAAAAAACAGCAAACAAATAAGAGTTTAAAAAGGCAAAGCCGCATCGCATTAAAGGTGAGCATTACATGAGATACGCGTTATCTCTGTTCAGCAAAACTTGGAACAGAATTATCTGCAATGAAAAAATAATAGTAACTGAGCAGAAAACCACTTAAGAAATTCGAAATGAACACTTCAGCAAACTAAAATCCGGAGAAGCCTATTAAAAAATCATGATGGAGTATCTCGGGACAATTCTACACACCAGACAAAGTGTTTCATCAGCCATCAGAGTAAGCGAAGGAATCAAAACAGGAAAAGAACACGTCCAATTTTAACAACTCAACAAATGTAGTAAAACTAAGGAAAAAGGCGAAAGCATAAAAAGCAAAATTTATGAACAGTAGACTAGTATCAAAAAACCATCTTTTAAATCCCAAACTCGACCGCAATAAACCTTTGGCGCCAAGCAGTTAAAGCTTCAAACGCTTAAGGAAATCCATTAAAAAAAATAGAAATTGAAAAAAGTTCAAGGAAATAAATCAATGTTGTTAACTTAAAACAGTGTACACTCAAGTAAACAAGTCAAAATTACCAAGTAGCATTATACCTAAATCAACACTGCAAATGCGGTGCTAAGAGACTGTAATGAACTTACTCGGATAGCCCAACAAAAACCCTTCACGAACTTGAAACAATTCGCTGCATAAAAGAAGGTTAAAGTCCTTCATATAAACCCATCAAAACCCCCCAATTAAGCCGCAAGTTTTCTTCAACTGTGGTAGATCCTCCGCAACAAGCAGCCAAAAAGAATGCACTACAGAACTCGCATACACTTATATTACTAACAACCAGATCCACAACCTAAACCTTCTTCTATATGAGTCAGCACGAGGAGGTGGCAAACAAAAACCTATCAAGAATCATTTTTTGAAACATTGTAACTGTTTAATATAAAAGGAATTTGTTAGAAGGAAAGAAAGTGACAGAATAACTAAACAAACAAAAACCGTTCTTTTCTTCCCGCAAAATACGGCATCGAGCAAGGGACATGCTGGAATAAGCAAAGAAAGAAAAAAAGATGTAAAAATCTTTGTGATACATGCTCTATGATATACTCCACGAAATCTTCTGAAGAGATGTTAAAGCAATAAAAAACGGCTTACGTGGCACACGAGACGATATTGGAAAAAATGATTTTTGCAAAGCAACAGCCGCCATCGTCAACCACGTCACTAGATGCATGCCGTGACGACGACCCAACTCCTTCACATGCATGGTTCTGAAGCGCCATTCTCTCGTGACAAATAATAAATTTTAACAGAAACTGACATCTAATAAATTCGGAACTAAGGTAAAAATGAGCGCGCAGCGTGCGCGTTATTCAATGGAGAATGCAGATGTCCAGCTGCAAGTGATGACAATCACAAAACAAACACGATACAAAACCTGCACAAAACAACATCTTGCAGAAGCGAAAGTTGAAAACAAGCTTCAAGTAAACTGAAAAAATAAATGGCTATTAAGCAAATTAAATTTAACTTCAACAGGGTGCACTGGTAAAATAAATGTATATCGTTTAAAGGCAATAATAATCCCTCAGCACTCTGTCATTATCGTCACTTTTAAATTCTTTACGTGAGCCTCGCCAATTACCCTATCACAGAGGTAGTAAAAAGCAGAATAATTAGACAACCAAAAATGACCGGAAAAATTTGCCTGAACAAAAATTTTGACAATTTTTCCTGAACTTTTCAAATAACACTATCAACGACTGGTAGTAATGACAGAGACACAAGATAAAAAAGCGCCAATTTCTGACGACCAAAAATCATCTTTCTCACCAACCGGTAAGTGCAAAACATATCGAACAAACAAATCTCAGGAATAACTAGCGCCATATTATATACAGTGGAAATTCGATGCGTGAAAAAAAATGAACGTTTAACAAGAACAAGAACAACAACAACAACAACAATTCTCTGAAACTTCGCAGAAAAAAGTATCCGAAAATCACAAAAAAAAAAAAAAAAAA